GTAATAGGCTTCGGCATACAAAATCATTCATTTCCTGCTACAAACGAATTTCGTGAGAGACACTCCATTTTACATCTTTAAATATACCCACGGTGAAATTTAAATTCCGATTGCACTCGATTCATGCACATGTATGGAAGGATGGATTTAGAAAATTGCAAAACAACTTTTCGAGAAATTAAACTTATTAAAATTATTATTTACATCATTCGTGCATAGTTAGCCTTCTTTCGTAAAAGATAATTTAAGATTTGCGTGTAAATAAAGAACATTACGAAAATATTTAAGAATCAACTAAACCCTCAATTGTCTCGAAAGAAAGTATCTATAATTAACACTTCTAAATTATTCTAATGCAGCGCGACGAAGTACATCGGTGCAATGAATCGGTGCAATGAAAATGCTTTAATTACGATTTGTAGCGTGAATAAACGCGCAATAACTCGCGACAGAAACCTTCGTAGAAGGTCCTCAAGTTCTCGACGCTCAATTACTTTCGTCTGCGCTTCCGGTGACTTCGCTTCGGTCGCCTTTACCGCTCGCGGACGAGCTCACGCGCTCGTCTTTTTGCCGCGACTAGTAAGCTAAGTATAGAAACGAGTTCATAAGTGTTTGCACCGACTGAGGCACCAGTACGAAAATTGAGAATTCGAAGATATAAAAATTTCTTGATGCAGAAATCGAATTTTATAATCTCAAGAGCTTGATATCTAAATTGTTCAAAGAGCCTATCATATCTATATTTTTTTTATTAAAGATTTTATAATGAAAAGTGAGATTATGAAATGAGAAAATCTGGAAAAAAACATTTAAATGTTTCAATCCTCTTGTGTCTCACTTTCTATCTTAATTTACAATTCTCCGAAGTCTGAAGCGTAAAACAAATTGAGAGTTATTTTTCAAAGTGCAATCATAAACCTTGATTTTCACTAGATATTAGATGTTGGGATAAAGTCTTAGCATTACTTTGGTATTCCTATTATTCGAATAACTTAATTTTTTCGTTTTAGTTTATTATGCATTATTGTTATAATAATTTGTACCAATGGTGATGCTTGAAAATAGTTGTTAATCTTCACCTTCTTAAAACATTATGTATCAACCGTTATGTGCAAATGCAAGAAATGCAAGAAAAGAGTAATGAAAAAATAGTAAGCCTTGACTCACATTGGTATACTTTGAACTTTGTAAAAACATAAAAGAAGAGAATACACGATTTGTTTTGCTGTATTTAATTTTAAACATATATGTTTGCGTTTTTTCTGTTATTAAATACATTTGCAAAGAAATAATCCAATTATCCGATATTATCAACATATTAAACTATTACGTTGAAATTAATTTATTTACAAAATAGGAATACAGCTTTTATTATTTTTTTTTAATCGATTAACCAAAGAGACTTAATATATAATTTCAATGTAAACCAAATCGAAGTATTTTCAGTTTCAATACGTAGCTCAAGATATATCTCTTCTAGAAACTATGTCGATATTATATCTGTGATTATTTTGTTATTCTTTTATTCACACTTATTTTTTTTTAATTAAAAATAACTTCTAAAGTGACAATCTCATCTTGCATTTTAATCTTATTATTTATAGAAATACATATTATACAATAGAAATATAGAATACATTTTATATGAAAATATAACTGAAATAGAATATATTCTAAAACAATAGAAATATAGAATATAAAGATAATGTTTATTAGATATATTGTAATTATTCTCCAAATAATTTTAACTCTTGCACTTCCCAAGAAGCACAGAAAAGTCAATAAGAAAACCAAATGACTTATTTTGATTCTTAACAACAATGAATAATCAAATTTTGTAACAAAAAAATTATCATTTTGACTTTTATGATGTCAAAATAAAATTTTATTTTAACTTTGTCTTGACTTAGTCCCTTGAATTATTATTTAACGGACGATTTACATATTTGTGAAAAAATAAAATATCTCATGAAAACAAAAGAAATGTACTCACCTAGCAGATACCGGTCTCACGCGCACAGCCACTTTGATGTTCGCCATATTATCATCTCGCGAATAACAATGTTGGCGTCATTCGGCTATCTACATTTTGCTAATGTTTTTCAACGAGGCACAGGTTTTCAAAGTCCAGGTCGTCACGGATGTGAAAAGTTAACGATAGAATGCACGGAAACGATCACTAATGCGATTCATCACATCCTTCGGAGATCGAATGCATCCGCTGACCTCCACAAATTTGGTAGCGCGAGCTGGCAGAGAGTGATCGAGACGAATGCGTGCACCGGTAGTATTGGGTGCACATGTTGCACTGCCGCGATGAAAATACCCTCGAGTCTCTCCCAAGACCATCCCGCTTCGTAGTTTACCCCACCAGGAGTGAGCGAGTGAACGAACGAGTGAGTTTAGTGACTACCTCGGTTGAACTCACTGTGTCATTTTGCCTGGATGTTATCCGATTCCTTGCCTCCGACGACATCAGTACGGAAAAGAGAGCATCACGAATTATGTGTACAAGGCGTTCCATAAAACGCCAGATGGTAAATATGATTAAGATTTGGAAAAAACGATTTTGGGCAGCTTGCCACATCGAACTTGTAGAGTACAAAGGATTTGTAAATGTGAGAATTGAGAGATTTAAGTGCTTGCTGGAGCTGAGTGCTCAAGGATGTCAGAATTGAAGATCTATGTACTTAAGAGCTTAAGAATCTAAAAATATAAGGGCTTTAGAAACTTCGAAGCTAAGAGTTCAAAGATCTAGCACTCCAAAAGCACAAGCATATAAAAATCTAAAAATATGAAAATTTAGTAATGCTTTTCACCGTAGTGGGTTTGAACCAAACTGAATTGAATTAATAATGTTGCATGCTATATTATTGCTAGAGCAATAATATATATATAAAATATATAATGCCAATCAATAGTAGCAATGTTATTAACTCAAGTTGATTCAAACTACAGTTGATTCTGCTACGGTCGAAAATGCCATAAGGAAACCTAATGAATTAAAAAAATTAAAATATCTAAAATAATCTGGAATCTTAATATCTAAGAATTTTGAAGATTTATTTATATATTTGTTGATTTATAAATTTAAGAATTAAAAGATCAAGATCTTTAAAAAATATAATATTGCAAGACTCTAAGAGAGGATGTATCTAATAGATCCTGTATTAGAAGCTAATTAATAATAATAGATATTATTGGAGTTTGATTTTCATTGCAAAAAGAATTTTGTGTATAATATTCAAAATTGCTATTTTGACATAAGTAATGTATGCGCATGTTTAATTTTATTTAAATCTCCTATTGTGGAACAAGCCGCGACTTACGAATCGCCCTGTAATTTAGCAAATAGAACTCGACGGAACGAGCAAAGACAAATTGCTGCTGTTGCGGTATCGTTGATTATATTACTCTCCTTCCCCTTCGTACAACGAGGGCATAGTCACTGGCATGTCTCGGTGTTTAACGGAGTTACTGGGTTACCGTGTTGCACGGTGGTGACGACCGCGACTTAACGCGAGTCTATCGGTGGGGAATTAATCAGAAAGTCAGAGGGTAATTTACTGTGCCTGTGTTCGCCCGCGAGGGAGGGAACGTTTCTCAATATTTAACAGAGAGCACGTACAGTCATTAAGAACCTCTCTCGGGTCATCGCGGTTCATTCACTTTGTATGTGTATTCCATTTCATCACGCATGATCTTCATCTCGATTTCTTTGAAGTACTTCATCTGTCTTTTATGATATTTTAAGAGTGCGCTGACTTTCAGACGAGATCCCTCTTTGATCCACGTATGATATTTTCGGGCTAGCAGATCGATTAGCATATTCTCTGTGAGATAGAGCTAGCGCTACGATTGTTAGTGCTGCTGATCCTTACTCTTCACTCGCGGTCTTCAGAATCATTATATAGGAGAAAGATGTACTGAGAACCTGCAATATATAATATCATTTATCATGTTGTATATCGTAATGTAACTTAAACATTACTATAAATTAACTCTTCGTCCATAATTCTGTAATATATGATAATTCTGTAATGTATAATTTTGCATCTTTCATTAGCAACCTGAATTTTGAACTTACAAATTTTTATATTATTCCAGACGATATAGAATTCTGAAAAAATTTTTATATACTGCGGAAAGAATGATTTTGTTAAAGTATTTAAAAATTCAACTAAATACTGATCTAAAAATAGATTTGTTGAACCATCAAAATAATTATATAGGAATCTAAAGCATAATGAACAATGCTGTAAAAAGCATTTTGATATTCTAGCAACCAGTTTTAGTATTTTTCGTAATATTTTGATGGTTCAACAAAAATATTTTTAGATATGTATGTAGCTAAATTTTTAGATATTTCAGCAATATCCTTTCTGTGAAAACTTTAACAATGTGAATTTTTATTATCAAATTAAATTTTATTTTATTAATTTTTGTAATATAAATTTAAATTTATCTATTACAACTCATTAGAATTTATAATAAAAAAACTGATTGTGCTTTCAAAATCTCACATTACCGGCGGCGAAAAGTTAAGAACTAATTGAAATTTTTTATTTATTTATTAGAAAATATTAAATATTTTTAAATACTTTTTAAATAAAATTTTTGTATAAAATCTAAAATATATTTGCATATATACATTTGATTTTGATGCAAAGAAGATCGTTCGTTAATATCAACAAATATTTTAACATACACGAGATAATTATAATGTAATTAAGTCTTGGAGTATATTGCCTAAAATTAAATTTAGTTATTGTTTGACACAATAATCTACTCACTTGAGAGAAACTTTCGAGAGACATGCTGTAGAACTTCGCGGCGGTGATCCTGGAAGGAACTTTCGACCGCATCATCACGATCTGCAGACTCCGACCGAAAGTGCCGCCGATCCAGTAGCTACAGTAAGCCGACTTGCTCACGGCATCGCTCTGGTTCGTTACAAGCGTTGGCCGTAAATTAATTACAGGCGATTGTGAGCTCAACGAACTATGTACTAATGAAGATACATGCGTTGGTAATCAGTCGATACGATTAACGTACATTCAGTCTTCCATCGCTCGTTAAAATTTGTGCAATTGCGATCTGATACGTTATCTAATAATTTATGTCGAACAAAAATTTACGTATATAATGACGTAATTATAATGTGAACTGATAATAAGATGCATAAATTTTGCGGAAAAGGATTACAATTTTGCGCCATGATGCTAATTTAATTTAAATTTTATACTGACTTAGCAAAAAATAGCAGACATTGTAATAACCAATTTACAATCCAAATAAATCGATTATTATTATAAAGAAAATTAATTTAAATATTTATTTACTTATCGAGCTTACAGTTTTTGATTTGATCAAATAACATGTAATTAGATATAGAATACTCGCCTCGTCTATTAACGCGTGTCCGCTGAAACTGAACATGAAAAGCTCCAGGATGGCGGAGTTCAAAAACATCGAATATTTCATCAACCGTGCCTTATTTTTCATCATCTAGAATAACATTTTGCAATATGATATTTTTAATTATAATGCGTTTTTAGCAAGCGAACGCACCGAAGTAATTTGAAATCCCGCGAAGCAAACCAAACCGGTACTGATAACGAATTGTCCTAACGCTAAGATGTTTATGATTCTTTCGAGCGCATCCGCGAAACTGAAGCAAAGAAAGCAAAGAACGATGGCAAGAATTGCATTACTGTATTTACGTATAAATACAGTAAATTTACAGGATTGTCATGACAAAACTGAAAATTAGGGAAATGTCAGGAAAATTAAAAATGACCAAAGAAATCAGAGTAAAATCAAGTAAAATATTCTGGAAAATTTAAATTCTTGCCTTTAAAGAAGTTTTATATGCGTACATCACATCTATGCAATTTAGGAATATGCAAGAAGTGTTGGCAACATTAATGATAATTTACATTATTAAATTGCTCTTTTAACAAAATATTCGATGGTTTCTAAAAAAAAAAGACGAAAATACAAAAAAATTAAAAATTATTGAAAATATCAGGGAAAATCATAAAATTTTATCTAGAAATCAGAGAAAAGTTATGGAATTTTAGGATGAAGAATTTGTGATAATCCTGAATTATACCGATAAGATGGTTTTTCTGAAGAGTCTAAAAATTTAGCTCGAGATACAAATCTGAAAATAATTTTGTTGAATCATCGAAATAATTATATAAAAATGTTAAAACTTTTTGCTGCATTAATTGCTCGATGCTTAAGATTCCTATGTAATTATTTTCAGATCTATATCTAAATTTTTAGATATTTCAGCAAAACTGTTATTTGTGTATTACAGACAAATTTTTAATATATTTATCCAAAGATGCGTTTTATAGTGTAATTTTATAAGTTTAATGATCAATTATTACTGTTCAAATAATTTTACATTTTATTAAAAAATTATTTCAAAAATTGTTTCTTCTCACATTTTAATATCAAATCAACCTTTTATACTTAATACAGGTAATATAAATACTCACATAATAGCATTTTGATGATCTTTAATGCAGTTTGCCATTGCTCTGTCAGCATTGGGATCATTGCTATTCATTGCTTCCAGCCTCTTTCGCAGCACCGCGAATTTCGCTGATCCATGCGTTATCGCGACAAAATTGAAACTGGTCGCGCCGACTATCGTGCCACCTCCAAAAAAACCACCCATTACATTGAAAACATAGATACATTCGTAGACGGGTGTGACCGATTGATTGACGAAGAAATATCCACGGAAGGGAAATATCTTCTCTCTTCCAAAAACATATGCCTAGTCAAGCAAATAATATTTAGGACAATTAATCGCTCTTTATAGTTAATTAATTATTTTCTTATTGTTTGTGTAAGGATTATGTTTCAATCGAGAATAAAAAACAAGATAATTGATAATAATTATAGTTAATTGCGAAGTTTGTGATGACCTTGCTTTTTAGATTATATTATTCAGTATTGATTATTATTGTGTTGTCTCGTATTTCTCTCTCCTCGGCTGAAATTAATTTTCTATAATTGTTAATAATTTATTAACAATTTAATTACCTGTGTATCGGGAAAATAAATATGGCGAAAGGATTAACATCTATGTAATGTACGCGTACGTGTGCAGGTGTTTTCGAAAGGGTCGTAAAGCGAAACGACCATCGGAAAACAATTTCCCGTGTAAAGGTACTACCGACGCATTTGTGAAGCGATAATAAACAATTTCGAGAGAACGGTACCTTACAAAAAGAGAAAAAAATGGAATTTCGAAAAGCTACAAATGTCAGCGTTAATCATCGTGCAATTTGCGTTGCCCTGTCGCACGTGTTGCATATGTCAATCTATCACCGTCGTTTCACAAAACATGAAATGGACATCTGCAAAAGTTTTTCTCGTTTGAGAACGTTTGTTTTATAAATGTCTTGCAGTTACAATTTATCGTTAAACATCGTTTTATTAAGAAAATAGGCAGTTAGATTTAAAGAAACTTCCGCAGTTAATTAGTCCACAGGTACAATTTAATAACGGAGTCAATTAAAAAGTTATAGAGAGAGAAGTACGAAGTTTTGAAGCAATAAGCTGGAACTCTCGGGAAGATTTTAAGTTTTACATCAAAAGATATTCTAATGCCACTTCATATTTAATTCAAAATAGATCTTTTATTATCATAAAATTGAAAATTTGTAACTCTACGAAGAGTAAGGACCTCGAAAATATCATATTAAATTTTCAACATTGAAAATAAAAGATATATGAACAAAAATTTTTTCAATTGTGCGAATTGAATCTTAAGAAAAATTACTTTTAAATTCAAAAGTAGACTTTCTTACAATCTTTGTGTATTTTTGAGACAATCTATGTATGTTACAATAGAAATACTAAATATGTGTGTACATACCTCTAAAATTGGTATGCATGAGAAGGTAGTTACGGTTACAACTACCATAATTATAAAGCATTTTGCGAGTCGAAATGCAAAAAGGCACTTCTCCTTTAGAACGACTCTATCTTCATAAGATGAACAAGTCCAATCCTTTCTCATAATCTCGACCACATATAGCATATCTTTTTGAGAGGCCGTGTAGATAATGAGACGTAATGTGGCGAGATAAAGTGCGGAGCCCGTTAAAGCGCATGCTGTCAGTTCGTCCAAATCATTAAAATTGTTAACTATATCGGCCGTCACGCTGATACACATTGAGATGAGCTGTATGTTGCAAATGACGTTGAATTATTCAAAAAATAGATCCAAAGTGTTTATATTAATTATATGAGAGAATTCAATGATAACCTATTTATTAATTGAAAAAAGTTTACGAGAGAAAAGATCAAAAATGTATAACATTTGTGCTCATAAAGCACTTTTAATACATCATAGATAGCTTAAAAAATGATTCATTGAAGTTTTTTTTCATTATATTATAAGTTATATTATATAAAACTAATGAATTTTCAGTGAAATGAGTTAGTTTTATATAACATATGGAAAATATATATATACACTGGAAAAAAATTATATTAAAATACAAAAAATGATATTGAAACAACATTATTTTAATGAAAATAATCTTGATCCACAATAACAGTACTAATGAAATACTAATGAAAATAATAAAATTTTTAAAGTAAGAGCATGACGTATTTATCAATTAATATTGTTATCATATATAAATTAATAAAATTTAATAAATATTAAAATAAAATGTTTTTTATTAAAATACTGTTGATATAATATCATTTTTTTCAGTATATAATTAGTGCAGAATCCTTTACTTGTAAAGGTTAAAATATTTAATTACTAATTAATAAAAGTAAAGCTCTTTTCTTTATCTTAAAATTTTGTTGCGTCTAATTAAACCTCTTTCGGCAACTGGTCTTTAATTGCAAATTTTGATAGATAAATTTAAATGGTCTGTAAAAAATACAACATTTAGAATAGTAAAATTCATTGTTAAAAAAAAATTAAATTTACTCTGTTTTTCGAAGACCTCTATTGCTGATGGAAGAGTTAAAATTCATATTGCTAGTAAAGAGTTAAGCAAGATATTAATTTTGCATACTACGAAAAAGAACCAGAGCACATGACAAGTCTTGAACACTTCCGCGCTAGTTGAATGGTCTCTCTTCAAAGGCCAAAAGGAGACGAATTTGGCAGCTATCATGATGGGCTTGATTAATTCGTCGTATTCTTTATCAGCGTATATTTGATGTTCCATGTCTTCGCTTCCGTTATCAATATGACTCGACGATGCGATCGCGACTCGTGACTTTTTGCGATTGCGGAAAAGCCGGAAGTCCATCACCGTTCGCTCACCGACGAGAGATCTATATGCCAATCTCGAAAGTGCCAATCTTTTCTTTCCCTCTATTCTCGTGATTCGATCGCACGAATGACGAGATAACAACCGGATATCGTTCTCGTAGGTGGCATAATGCCCGAAGTTCGAAACTCTCCACTAATGGGCGGGGCAAACTTCTCGCGTGCATAGATGTCGACTTGTTTCCCTTTCGATGGGAAAAGAAAAATGCATTGTCATCTCTTAATGAAATTACGTGAATCTTTGACAATTTGTTATTTATTATAAAAAATCGGATGTTCTATTTCTCCATCATTTTCATGTATTTTTATAATTGATTAATATCATTCATATGATAACTTTAATGTTGATTTATGTATGGTTAAGAATTATTTTAGATTCTACGCCAGTGACTTGGGGGAGTACATGTAGTTACGAATATTCTATGTAATCATGGTAAGCGTGTAGGAAATAAGAAGGTAATAGTTGAGAACAAGTAGTTCTATCTTCGTAAGTGATTTTCGATTTTATTACAGGGAAATTTTGCGCTAGAAAGAGGACTATCTGCGTCATTGAATGTTTCGTACTTTGCGTTAAAAATAAATGGAATAGTGAAGGAGAAGGAAAATTACATAAGAATACTTTTACTAACAAGTAAGGTATGTAAAGAATATATTGGATATAATAGATTTTTGAAAATAAAATATATTTCTTTTGTGCATAACTTTGATAATTATGCATAAATACATATGGATTTATTGGCTATTTATACAATCGAAGTTTCTACCGAGTAATAAATATGCATCTATTCAATGTGACGATATTATTGCATAAATGTATAAACTATATAAATTTATAGATGCGTCTATTTGCACAATAATGCCAGAAATAACAAAGATAACTTTTCAATTATATCCTTGTTTACGCATTATTTATTTGTTTTGTTATAATTTTGTCTTTACTTTTTAGTGCCATGTATTGTTTAATGTATTTTTGTAATATTTTAAAGTAGTTTGATTTATACGAGATGAATCAATAATATAACTATATGGGGAGTAATTCCTTTTTACAAAAATAAGTTTAGAATAAACTTTTTTTTTGTTTGAAGTTTTATTTCCGAGAATCTAATTTATGGAAATTGTATTCAGTATTACGTGTCTTCAATGAAGATTTTGAAAAGATACAAACTTGTAGTGTAAACATTACATTCACTTTATGAATAGCAAAATTTAAAAAAATGATAAATGGGTTGTCCGGAAATGAATTGGGTTGTTCGTGCCGATTTTTGGTAAATGGCATAAGGACAGGTCTGAATATATCAGAACAATTGAAAACAAATGACATACATATTGTAAAAGATGGTACTTCAGGCATACTTGGAAAAAAATTTGGTTGCGATACGTTAATTTTTGTCAGTTTTATACGCCTTTGAATATGGAAGAAAACAAAGTGCATTTAATGCTTTTCTTTTACCGGAAAGGCAAAAATGCCACACAAGCGACAAACAAGATATGCACTGTTCATGGCGAAGGTGCTGTAGCTGAAAGAACTGTGCGGAAGTGGTTTGCTAGGTTTAAAGCTGGTAATTTCTTGAAGATCAAGAACGCCCGGATAGGCCTTCCATCACAGATGAACATCAGATTAAAATACTGATCGAGAATAATCCACGATATACGATTATACGATACGTAAATTAGCAGAAATGTTGAATATGTCAAAATTCACCATACACGAGCATTTTGTGAAGCTACATAAACTGTTTTGATGTATGGGTTCCCCACGATTTAAGAGAAAAATCTGATGGATCACATTTCTATTTGCGACTCGCTCTATAAACGCAACGAGGAGACACCATTTTTGAAGCAAGTAATGACGGAGGATGAAAAATGAATCATTTACAATAATAATGTTGAACGAAAAAGATCTTGGGGAAAGCGGAATGAACCATCTTTAGCCACCCCAAAAGCTGGTCTTCATCCAAAGAAGGTCATGCTCTGTGTCTGGTGAGATTGGAAAGGGATCCTGTATTATGAGCTTTTACCAAACAACGAGACGATAAATTCAGAGAAGTATTGTTCCCAATTAGACGAATTGAAGACAGCAATTGAACAAAAACGTCCAGAAATAGCGAATCGGAAGGGCATCGTGTTTCATCAGGACAATGCGCGCCCTCATATGTCTTTAATAACTCGACAAAAGTTGTTGGAGCTCGGTTGGGATCGGGGGGATCTACCCCATCCACCATATTCACCAGACCTCGCGCTTTCTGTTTTTCACCTATTTCGATCATTACAAAATTCCCTTAATGGAAAAAGCTTCAACTCTTTGGTCGAGGTAAAAAATCACTTAGAAAAGTTTTTCGCTGAAAAACCTAAGAGATTCTGGAAGGACGGAATTTTCAAGTTGCCTGAAAGATGGAGAAAGATTGTAGAACAGAATGGCACCTATATAATTTAATAAATGTATATTAAAATTTAAATCTTCTGCGTTTCAATTTTCCTTCAAAATCGATACGAACTTTCCGGACAACCCAATAGTTAAATTGTATTAATTTATTATTTTAAGATTAACTTTAATCTCGGTTTAACTTACTGTTTATTTTTTCTAATTTTTAAAATTAAATAAGATAAAGAATAAATTGAACCGAAATTAAAGTTAATCTTATAATGGAACCGGAGCTTAAGAGAGAAATTGTTTTATACAACAAAGCCTTGGAAGAAGTTTATCCTGTAATTTTCATTTATTTTTGTGCAAGAAATTTCCCGCGTTCGATTGTATTATACGCTTGTTCTGTACATAAAAGATATATTCTTCTTATATATTTTGACTTGAATTTGAATTCAAATTTTGATCTCTCGATCTCGTAAGTAGATGATCGATAAATTGTGCTCCGACTTCACACTTCACGCTTGGTTGAGAATCACTGGGCAGAGTCATGCATGCGCAGTGCAATCAAGCTGACGCATGCATAACCTATCAGATCCAATCAAGACTGTCAAGAGGGTTGTTTTCGTTCGTGATAATTGTGATATCCTTGATGATTTCGCGAGGATATGAATTGTCATTGTAAAAATACGCGATAGCCCCTGAGAATGGCTGCGCCTTATCTAGGCGTGAGCGATATCGTTCATCTGAACGTTGGCGGCACTAGGTAGATTAATTGTTCACTAGTCATCAGTTTTTCTATCATCTGTTTTTACTTGACCTTGTTAAGTAAAATCTAACTCTTGCACTTACATATCAAGAGATTGGTTTATATCTTTCAGATTATTTTACATTTTTTATCTTGATATTTTATTGCTTCTTGGATCTTTTGTTAGATTTTTTTCATCAATCTCTCACTAGTCTTTTACATGTCTTGACAGCATCAAATCAATTCTCTTTTCAGATTCTCCACATCTCGTCAAACTCTGACGTGGATCCCGGATTCTTTCTTTACAGCACTGTTAAGTAACAGAATCGACAGTCACAAGGATGAGACTGGTGCACTTTTTATAGATAGAGATCCGAAGTTGTTCTCTATTATATTGAATTATCTTCGTACCAAGGACATTGATCTAAAAATTATAGATATTCGAACTTTAAGGCATGAAGCAGAGTATTACGGTATTACTCCCTTAGTTAAACGATTGATACTCTGTGAAGATTTGACTCAATCATCTTGTGGCGATGTACTGTTTTATGGTTATTTACCACCTCCAAGTGTGTTAATCATTATTTATCACTTATTGTAATAAATATAAAGTGAGAAAGCAAAACTGTAAAATGAGAATGTAATGATTCTGTTTATTTAAAAAAGGTATACCGCTTCAAGAACCTGTTGCAGTAACATCAAATATCAGTGATGTATCAGTTCATATTAGAGTTAGTTCAGCTTCAAATTCTAGAATTGATGGATCATCTACCTCGCAATCTATGACAACCACTAACTCTGCTAATCAAAGTGCTAACGGTATTTATAGATTTTATCACTGATTTATTATTAATAGTATTAATCTCCAGAGTTGACAATGAATTTATTGGACTTACTCTAATATATTCTTTATGTTGCTTTTATAAATTTGAATTATTGTTCATAATCAAAAAGTAAAAAGGACAATGGGAATCAAATGTAGAAAACAGTGTTTAATGATAAAAAAATGTGTGTGTGTGTGTGTGTGTGTGTGTGTGTATTTTTTTTTTTTAAATTACAACAACATAAATATTAAGTCACGAGAACAATTGCTCAATATTTGTGACTTTTTTAATTATTTAATGTATTATAAATAAACTTAGAGAGAAAGAGAGAGAGAGTATTCTTTTTTAGAAATTATGTTATTATATCAAGAATTTTACTTAGAAATGTAATTTTGTTTTGATGTCTTCATGATTCCTTTATTAATTAATATCTTCTAATCAACATAAATTAAATGAGTTTTACAAATTCATCAGCTCTAAAGTTAATAGATATAATCTAAAATATTTAGCGTCAGAAAGAAAATTGACAAATAATTGTTTTGCCATAGGGCTACAAAATCATAAAGGGGCATTGGGAACCCATATGAGAAATTCTTCTTTAGATTACCGATTGCCACAACGCGGTCTTCCGCATTCTCGGACACCATCTCTAGATCTGAGACATGCTAGGAACAATTCGGCTGATTTGAATAAATTATATAAAAATGATATCGGTTTAATATTTGGATCACAGCAAGGTACCAATGAATCATTTTTTGTAAAATGATGTCCATTTTTTGCTTTTCACTTCTAATATTTATAAAATTACTTGATTGTAGTTTCATCATGGGTAGACCCTCTGAGAGTACAAATCATAAAAGCGCATCACAACTGGATAGTGATCGCTTACGCGCATTTTATCACATGCTATCGGCTGAAGGACTCGTCTGGATGGCAACACGTGTTCACCAGTCCACATATCG